TTTTTTTTTTTTTATGGTCATTTTAGATGGTGTTTTAGTTCTAGACCTCGATTTCAGAATTAAAATTTTGAAAATCATTGAATAGCAACTCGGCTAAGCTGTAGTTTAGAATTTCCTTCTAGATTTTTGCTTTTGGGGTTGCTAGTTAATTTTCACGTTTACATATACATTTCTTTTATTATTATTACTCTATTTTCGCTTGCTTCATTTATTTTAGCTCTAAATCCATGGGAGAAGATAGGAATGTCTCAAGGAGGAAGGAACTTTGTCTTGTGCAAGAAGGCGGTGCACCCGCAGAAGTCAGAAGGAAGGTCAGAGATTATAGCCCAAAAGAACAGTAGGTGGAAAGCGTGGCTCAATAAGTCCTTCAGTTTCAAGATCTTAACTCACTGAGAGATTATACACAAATTACAAAGAATTTTATGTTTTATAGTTTAGACTATGTCGAGCTGTAAAACAACAATCATTGAATGAGAAACAACTCTCAATATAAGGACCCTACCCACTCAACCAATAATTTAAGTTATGCGATTCAGGCTATATTTTACATAATTACAAATTAGGCACAAGAGGGGGGTGTGTTCTCTTTTACCACATTCCATATCAGTTTCATTGTTGTCACATTCTGTGGAGGGGATAAGCATCCGGACAAAAGAGATTGTTATCATAAATGTAATGTGTTCTATGCAATAAATATACATGAGAGATCGATATATGCTCTTTGTGAAAATTCCAATCCTTAATTATATTCCGATTCTTCTGTTGATTCTGATTTTCTTCATTTTCATCTGATGTTGCTTGTCAGTCGTTCTACAAGCAAGCATGGGGGTCCTTTCTTTAGTACTTACCTCTGCCATAATGCCACAACATAACAGTGGAACTTCCCTGGACTGTGCAGCCTCCAGGTCTTTTATCTGCTCCTTCAATTTCTCATGAACAGGCCAGCTATACACCAGGGTAACAAAAGCACTTTTTTGCTAAAAAAAACTCAAAGCTCACCACAAGTTCTAGAAATTTTGCCAATCAAATCAAAAGACCATTGTTTAACCCAAGAAAGTAAAACGAGCTACTGCTTTGTATAGGGAACATAGATTCAAGCCATATATTATTCTTATCTCATAGCAAAAGAAAAGGGAAAGGAAAAAAGAAAAAAAAAAGGCTCATTTAGTCCACTGGCACATAGATCAGACGCTCAAAAGATAGCTTCATTAGACAAAATTTTCAGAGTCACAGAAGCAGGCGAAAAGGAGGAAGGTGATCATTGTTGAAAGGGAAAAGTCAAATAACAACTTGAATTCCAGCCGTTTGTCAAAATGTCAATTTAAAAGGAGTTGCAAAAATTCTGCTAATCCAAAATATCCAAAATAAGGCAGTGAGAGTCATTATATCTTCTAACTGTGAGAGAAGATGAGATTGAATATATATATTTCTCATTTATCTTTCTTGAACCTTCAGAAATGCCACATTATATCTTCTAACTGTGAGAGAAGATGAGATTGAATATATATATTTCTCATTTATCTTTCTTGAACCTTCAGAAATGCCACATTTTGCAATTTCTTCTGCCCGTGGGACTAGAGCCTGTCCATTAAGAAGAATAAATGTGGAGAATATTTTAACAAAGGGTTTAGATCGATGATACTCTGCCATGAGAAAAAAAATTAATTTATGGCATCGCCGACCATCTTATTTAACTTTTTCAAGTGGCATATTCAAGAAAATGTCATAAAACAACGTTTGAAAAAATGTATTCATATAATCTGTAACAGCCTTTGATGAATGTCTTATTTGCTATGTGTTTTGGGCAACACTTTTACCATGCAAGTGCTTAACACCATATCAAGGTTGCAAGAAAAGAATAACATGATACGAACTAGGGCAGCCAGAGATTGAGAAGCCACCAGATTAAACTTATATAAGCCTATTAGGGGAACAAAAGAATGTAACCTACTACTTAACAGAATTAACAGTTGAGATTACCTGAGAGTACCTATATCCATCTTTAAGAGAAGCCCTGAGTGAGAAAAAAAGAAGGTCAGAACTTCGGAGTTACATTACATTAAGTTACAGAGAGCATCATAAATGCTAATGAAACAAAAAAATGAACGTGTATTTTCTTGAAGAGAGTAACGATTACTAAAGTCTAAATTCGGTTTTACTAAAAACTAATGCACACATTGCAGCACTTCCATAAACGAAATACTGTTTTCCAATAAAGTGGGTCGAAATCGTTTCATGTTTTGATAATTGAAAATGCATCCATATCCATAAAACTTCAATTTGGGCATCCTCATGATATCAAAGAAGAAGGAGATGAAAATGAAACAACTAGAATCACGATTCTAAAGCTCACATTGGCATTTCATCAAACATATTGAATGCAACTCTTAATTCATTAGAAAACACAATAAATGAAACTCTAAATCTCATATTGGCATTTCATTGGTCAATGAAGTACTGGTAAATGCCCCGGCTCAACTGGTTAAATATTTGAAAGTCTAGCTTGAAATTCTCATTTTTGAAGCTTGAGTAAGATAGAAATATATCTAAAAAAAAAAAAAAAAAAAAAAAGATTATCCCTCGTCTATAGTCTATTATCAAATTAACAAAAAAACAGAAAAGGAAAAATGAAGCTTGCTGTTGTGAGCACTTACCAAGAATGAAGCAATGTGGGAGTCTGAGAAGTGTAGTGTCTGCAGGGGATAATTTGATTCTGGTATGTCTGTTAGAGGTTTGTGAGAAGGAAGTAGACGATTTTGCGGTGGCAGCGGATTGACAATTTGACTTGAGAATTAGACCTCATCTTGCAATGGAGAAATTCTGTTCTAATTTAGTGTTCGTCTCTTCCTGTTTGAAAGTAAAAAATTTTGTTTTTGAGTAATATTACATGTGAGAGTAGAATGAATAAAAAATAAGAAAGGGTTGTTTTTTTATTATATAATCAAAATAAAAAAAATAAAATTTTATTGTATTTTTAAGATACAAGGAATGTGATATCTTAACTAATAAAAAAACATTATCTCAATTTTTTTTATTAACCTCAATTTCTTTTATTAAATGATTGATGAGATGTTAAAAAAGAAAACTTGAGATGGTATTTTTTAATTGGCCTTGGATACCATGTCCATGATATTTTAGAGATACAATAGAATATCTATGGTATTCCAAATATATGGCAGAATTTCTCTTGCAACGGTTCATAAAAAAATTTATTGAACAAAAATAAGAATATATTAATAGAAATATAATATTGAACTAAATAAA